GCCCCCCCCCCTCGCGCGCGCCTGGCTCCCCTCTAGCGCGCACGCGCAGAGGAGGCCTCCGCGCCGTCCCGACCGCTGCACTGCGTCTGCGCGAGGGCCTCCGCGCGTCCCGACCGCTGCACTGCGTCTGCGCGAGGGCCGGGGCTGCGCCCGCTCCCGGCACCGCCCCCCCTTCCCTCGGCCGCGCTCCCGAGATAGAATTCTGAGGGGAGGGGGCCGGAAGGAGAGGCGCGGGCTCGGCGGGGAGGAACACCCAGCGTTGCCAACGTCCAGGCGGGGGCTGGAGATCTCCCGGGAAAACGCTGTCTTCTTCTCTCCAGGCTGTGCGGATCGTTTGTTTCTTCGTTTTGAGAACATCTGTCCCACTGCCCCCGGAGACCAAGGCGGCTCTGGAAGGTGGACTTGCATGACACTGTATAGCTCACCGAGCAATGCGCCCTCTAAGCCGTGGAGGCCTTGCGAGCAAAAATTGTACTCTGTGAGCTGCTGGCCTTAAAGTGGCGAGCGAGCCATTTGGCGGCTGCATGAATTAGCTTGCTCTGGAGCCTGCCTTCCTGAGCTGAGACAGAAATCTGTGAGCTGGAGGCTGAAAAACTGTGAGCGGGCTCACACTGACTCAGCTCAGAGGGAACACTGGCTGGAATGCTCCCTCTAAGCTGTGGAGTCTTGCGAGCAAAAATCCAACTCACTGAGCTGCTAGCATTAAAACCATTTGGCTGCTGCATAAATTAGTTTGCTCCGGAGCCCTCCTCCAGGAGTGAAGAGAAAAGTTTGTGAGCCGGAGACTAGAACCCTGTGCGCTAGCTCACACTGACTCAGCTTAGAGGGAACGCTGCCTACCAAGTCCCCCGCCTCCCTCAGCCACACTTCTCCAGGTCCCACCAGTGTTCCCTCTAAACTGAGTTAGTGTGAGCTAGCTCACAGTTTTTTAGCCTCCAGCTCACAGATTTTTGTCTTAGCTCAGGAAGGGTGGCTCCACAGCAAACTAATTGATGCAGTAGCAAAATCACTGGCTCACAACTTTAATGCCAGTAGCTCACAAAGTAGGATTTTTGCTCACAAGACTCCACAGCTTAGAGGGAACATTGGGTCCCACCCTCAAATCTTCCAGTTATTTCTGAACCCGGAGTTGGCAACCCTAGAAGCACCTCAGGCTTTGCCACAGGCCTGGGTTTTTTTTAATTTAAAGACACCTGATTAAACAATAATAATTAAATAACAGTTGAGTGAGGCCTCTTTAAGGTTGCCAGGTCGGGTTTGGGGAAGACCTGGATATTTTGGGGGTGGAGGCTGAGGAGGCTGAAGTTTGGGGAGGGGAGAGGTTTCAGTGGGGTACAGCACCGTCCAATCCACCTTCCAAAGCGGTAATTTTCTCCAGGTGAACTGATCTCTGTCCTCTGGGGATCAGTTGTGATCCCAGGGGATCTCCGGCTGCCGTCTGGACTGGAGCCTGGCAACCCTAGGCCTTTTGGACTAGAAAAATTGCCACAACTTGAAAGGAGGGAGGTGGAAACTACAGTTTGGTGTAGTGGTTAAGTTTGCGGACTCTAATCTGGGAGAACCCGGTTTGATTCCCCACTCCTCCACTTGCACCTGCTGATGTGACCTTGGGTCAGTCACAAGCTCTGGCACAGCTGTCCTTGGAAAAGAGCAGTTTGTGTCAGAGCTCTCTCAGCCCCACCCACCTCACAGGGTGTCTGTTGTGGGGAGGGGAAGGGAAAAGGAGTTTATAAGCCGCTCTGAGACTCCAAGTGAAGGGCCGGCTATAAATCCAATCTCTTCTTCTTCTTCTTCTTCTTTCCCCGGCTGTGATAATTTATCTGAGTAAAACTCAAGGGTTTTGAACCATTAAGCATCATGTGTGAGGGGGAAAGGAAGGAAGGGAGAACCGCACAGAAGAAGCGCAAACTGGGGGAACGGGCGCTGATTCCACCGTGATGCGTCTCCTTCACTCAACCCCCCCCCCAAGATAATTATTATGAACAATATTTCTAACTCCGCCATCTCAGACCAGCGAGCTGGAGAGCAAGATTGCGCTAATTAATCAATTACTATGCACCGACGTAGCCGGTTTATGTACTAGTCAACGCTACCAGCCACTCATTATTAATCATTGTCGGGAACAAATTTTTTTTTTTTACTCAACTTACCTTTTGATAATTAATAGAGCACAGAAAGCTTTAAATGTGTTTTTCGGGATTAGCCGAAGAGCGGCGGGCTGGGGGCTGAGAGGAGGCCGGTAGATGCTGGCCTTCACTGCAGGGGTGCGGTGTGTCACCCCAAAAGGATGGAGCAGCAGCCCTTTGGGCAACCCCAGGGGTTACCTGCAGCATGTGTTGAACCCTCCCAAAAAAAACTATCCATGGTGAAGGAACAATGGAAAGAAAATGGAGAAGGATGAAATCTGAATCTTCAGAAGTCTTTTCTCATCCAACATGGGAGGGCAGCTTCTTTTCACTACACTAATGCAAACTACAAAACGCAACTCTTTTTAGCAACCTGTTTTAGTGGGTCAGAATTAGAGATGTAAAATTTCCGGAAATTTTGAAGCTCAGAAAAAAACCCGTTTTTTTCCCAGAGGAAAAGGAACTTTTTGGAAAAATTGAAAAAAATGTTACATTAGCATTTCTTTTGTCTTTTCTAGATTGAAAGTCATTCTGTTACTTTAGGAACATAAAATATGGCCATGGACATTTTTACTTGGCATGAAATTATCACAAATAGCATATTAAAAATATAGTGTATCCAAACAATTATTACAAACAGAATACCAACCCAGATGCAAAAACAAAACTGAAACCTTTTTCTTTTCTTCTGACAATAGCACCTCCTAAAGGAAGAAATGCATCTTGTTCTTGCATTGGAGAGTTCAGTTTGTAACCTAGCACTTGCTAGTCCTCAGTGCACAGAAATTAGATCAATCTGATATATTTAGATCAATCTATATATTTTAGAAATGATTTGGAAAATATTTGAACACCTTGTCTTAAAATATTTTATTCATCATGTTAAAATAAAACGTTCCATAATCAATTTTTTTCTTTTCTTTTTTCAATTTTTCCAATTTTTCGGGGGGAAAAAAGGCTTCAGGAAAAAAATGGGGGGGGGAATGGTTTCCCCCCAAAATTTTCCGGTTTTTTTCCGGGCGTTCACATCTCTAGTCAGAATTCCATTCAGGCTCAGTTTGTGCCACATGCCGCTCCAGAACCTATTTTCAAAGCCAGGTTTCAGTGCTCATCTTGCCAACCTCCAGGTGGGGCCTGGAATTGTACCGGGATTAGAGCAAGTCCCTGGAGGAAATGACAACTTTAGATGGTCTACCATAGATTCTAGGTGAAATCCCCCCCCCCAAATTCCTTCTTCCACAGGAACCGCCCCCAAATATCCAGGAATTTTCCAGGCTGGAGTTGGCAACTCTACTTCAGTTCCAGAACTTCTGTTATGATGTGAATATATTTGTCTTTTATTCAACAAGCATCTACACTAACAAATAGTTAATATCAGTTACAGAGATTTCTTTTGATCCAAGCTTTTGCTTGATACGATTGTTAATTTCTCTGTTTTGTGAGGATTTTTAATTTTGGTTGTATTATGATTGTTTAACTGATGTTGTGCACTCCTTGGATTTGAGCTACACTGATGGAAAGGCGTGACAGGATTTTTAAAATAAAGTCATCCAAAGTAAAGGAGGACAACCCCATCCACTAGCTGGGTTCCTAGACAGACCTACTCTGGCTCTTAAAGACTGTACAATATATCTTTTCCTTCTAAATGGACTGCTGAGAAATCTGCATTTTATCTGTCAAAAGAATTAAAACTGCTGCTTGGGTTCCCAGTCCAGCAAGATTAATACGTCCAACCCCCCCGAGGAGTGCTTATGTACCCAAACTGGAGAAATTATTGTCCCTCTCTGCAACAATGCCAACAAGGCCAAACTCCTTTTCAAAAATAAACACATTTGCATTTTATTGGAAGAATAAATCATTATCCTTTTAAGCCAAAGCAGGGAGACTGTTTCTGATAGAATTCCCAGTGAGAAAAGGTCTTTGAGTCTGGGATTCAGACTGGCATCCATATATCTTCAACAAAGATGGTTCTCCAAAAGTCCCAAATGCTGTTTGTTCCATGACAGGTATTTACTGCAGTTTGGCTCTGGCAACAATCATGAAGAATTTCAAGATGTGGGGAAAGAGATGTGGCTTGTAGAAAAGAGCAGATGTTTCACCTACAGGAATGAATAAATCATAATTTAAGAAGACCACTTTCAAAGGAAGGAAGTTTTAAAATGCACGTTCTTCCCATATTCAATAGATTTGCTATTTTATCATCTGTTTTCAAGGTGCCTGAAGAGACTCTTCAGGTCAGCTCTGAGAAACCTGAAAGCAGATGAATAACCAAAGATATACCTATCCCTCCAAAGTCGGCACATGGTCGCAGGGAATTTTCTTCTAACAATGCAATTCTATGTATGTTTATTTTGTTCAGTGGGGGCTTACTAGATAACTGTATGCAGGATGACAGCTGCTGACCACCTAGAATAAACCCACTGAGCATAATGGGACTTGCTTCTGAGTATATCTGAAGGCTGTTACTCCTGTTAAATATAATTTAAAAAAAAAAACCAAAACAGACATGGCCCAGCTCTGAGAAGAGGGCTATGGACAGTTGTGAGTTGAGTCCCAGGACAGAATTGGAGGAAAGGCTGCCTAGGTACCCATGATGATAGATGCAGGGCAGGATCGGAAGGAGTGTATGTGAAAGAGAGAAGATGCCCCAGATTTTTAAAAAACAATTTAAAACAGGTTTAGTGGGATCAGGACAGGGTAGAGCCCACGGGCAGTCTGTGCTGTCCATCTCTTTACTTTTTCTTATAGCTCTGACTAGGGATGGGCATTCGGTTCGTCGGAACCGAATGCACCCCCGAAAATAGCCCATTCAGAACCTTTCGGGCTGCTGCAGGCCAATTCAGATCCTCTGATCTAAATCGGCTTGCCGCCGAATTGCTGCCAAATTGTGGCTGCAATTTGGCCCCATTATACCCTATGGGCCATTGAAGTCATTGGTGAAAACATAGGGTATATTCTGGGGGCTGGAGGGGAGGGGGTTTGAGGGAGAGGCTCCAAACTCGCAGGGTAGCTGCTGGAGCCTCTCCACAAGATACCAACCATGACTGAAGAACATTGGAGCAGGGGGTCCAAGTCTATGGGCCCTCAAACAGGTTGCCCCTATCCCCTCCATTGTTCTCTATGGTGAGAAAAAAGTTACATTGACTTCAATGGCCCATAGGACATAATGGGGTTGAAATTGACATTTGGCTGGCCGAAAGACTCCTGAATCTGGCTGGTACTGACGAAACTGACATGCGGGAGTCTTACTGCCAGCCGAAACTGATTCTGCCCGATTCTGCCGAATTCGAATGGGCCGAATTATTATTTTTTTGCACACCCCTAGCTCTGACACTGATCACATTCTAATACAACAAATATACTTTCCTCTTCTGCCTCCTACACAAGGGTCATTTCGTAGAAAAAGAAGTGCAGGAGCTCATTCGCATAACTCATTAGCATAACTTAGTTGCATATGCCACACCCCCTGACATCACCGGAAGTATGTCAGAAGGGAACACCCACCGCTCAGGCACCACTGGACTGCTAGCTATTGGGAGGGACACACACAGATCTGCCCTCGCAGAGGAGGGAGAGCTTGTACCTGAATAAAACTTGGTCTTAAAGGTGCCACTGGACTGTTTGGGGGGGGGGCTCTGCAACTTACCTGGCTGCTTCTTGCTCTGACTGAGGGCTGCTGGGAGCAGGGGGTGGGGCTTGTTGCATGTGCCCGCCCCCTGGGCTCTTTACTGCCAGAGCTCCGCTCCTGTGTGCTCCTGCAGGAAATGACCCCTGCTCCTACAATACCCTTCCAAACAGTTTTTTGTAATTTACATACCAACATGGAGGGAACAATTCTTATCAAAGCCTAGAACACAGTCCACTAGGACAGTTTCCTGTGTAATCCTCCTTTAAATTAATGCTTCAAGACCTCTTTGATGGGACTTTCTTGATTGACACTCATCTCAGTGAATTCCCATGAAGTTATGGATTGCTTAGTATAAAATACGTGTGGCCCATTTTCCCTTTGTCAAATTTGCAGAGTATGAGGAAGATGAAGACCCTTTCCAAGGAGACGTGGGAAATAACAAGAGAATCAAAAGCAGAAACAAATGACGTGGTTCTCTTGTGATGCGAGACCTGTGGTACTCACATCAAGTGTTCATAGGAGGTGAGAGTTTACCACAGACAACTAGCAGGCTCCAAGTGAAACTTTCAGCACACTGGGAAGATCTTATTTATAGATTCTGAGCAGAAGTTGGCATCTACCAGTTTATCAGATCTGCTCACAGAGCAGGATGGCCAAGCCTCTTGGAAGCTAAGCAGGGTCGGCCCTGGTTAGTACTTGGATGGGAGACCACCAAGGAAGTCTAGGATTGCTCTGCAGAGGCAGGCAATGACAAACCACCTTTGATAATCTCTTGCCTTGAAAATCCTAAACCCACTGCAATGATGATACTTTCTACCGCCACCACCACTCATAGGGAGCCGTCTGAAGGATGACCGGGCTAGGCCAATCAAAAGCCCCATCTCAACAGGCCCAGCAACAGGCTCTGGTGTAGGCACAATCGGGTTTGTGACTGAGGGCTTCCCTGCAGTGGTGAGACCAGCGATAAAGGAAAGGTGACTTTTAATTAAGGTTTTACTATCTATTTTGTGAGGCCCCGTGCTTTGGAGGCCTGCTGTTCCTCCTCTTCGAACTGGAGCTTGTTGTGTTCTGCAACTCCCAAGATGGTTTCGACATCTCGGACCGCTCCCTGTAACAGAGTCAAACAGCCAAAGCGGTTAAACAGTTTTCATGCTTGAAGCGAAGAATAAGAAGATGATCAGAGATTTCTCTCATAACAACTAACAAAATAACATATAAATAGCGAACTGTTATAAGCAAGAGCTCTACAAGTATATTGTGACATTAACTCTAACAGTACTAACATTTTAACTAACAGTGAAAAGATCTCCTCCTCTTGGGGTTTTAGATTAGTGTGGTTTGCTTTCCTTTCTCCTTAGATGTAGTCCCTTCCCTATTATTTCTTTGTCGTTTTTGTAGCTTTGCAAAATAAAAAAGTATCCCTCCGGGGATTTAAAATAAATAAATAAAACAACAGTTTTTATGCTACCAGATGTCGTCCCTTCTAGATGCCCCTTCTACTACTACTACTATTTCTACTACGACTACTATTGAGGAGGAGAAGACAACGACAACGACTTATGGATCGGCCAGTCCCTGCTGTTGCAGGGCTCTGGGCAATATACAATCATCATAAAACATCAAACAAAATAAGGGGGAAAAGGCGCGCCGGCGATCCACGCCTTTCTGAGCCGCATCAAAATAGACGCGCAGCAGCAGGATCAGATAGATCCCCTGAGCCGCCGCGCAGTTGCTTCCCCGGCACAATCTGATGCCGGGGGGGGGGAGCCACGGAACGGAGAGCGAGGCAGCTGGCTGCGCATGTGCACGCATGCGCAGTTTGGCCGGGAGCCTTAAATGCTGTGGGAGACAGGCGCGCCGGCGATCCCACGGCCACCCTTGCTGCGGAGTTTCAGGTTGGTAGTACTCTTTTCTAGGTTGTTTTTTTTAATGCGCGTTTTCGCCCGGAAAGGACGGATCGGGGACGGGTGTGCTTCGCTTCCCAGATGTTGCGGTGTGATCGCGCCCGTTTGATGCGCCCCCGATCCGTCCCTCTTGTGGGGCAAAACCTCCTGTGTGACTGGGGCCCTAGTTTACCATATTGGATCACGGCAGTGCCAAGCACTTGCAAACTAGGGACAGTGCTGAGTAAGCAGGCAGTGGCAACCCACCTCTGTATGTCTCTTGCCTTCGAAACCCTACATGGTCGCCATAAGTTGGCTGTGCTTCGATGGCAATTTCCACCACCCTTGCCTAGGAATATTTGCGGTAGGGGTCTCTCTGTATTCCTCACCAGGACCACACAACCTAAGCCTCAACACTTAACAGGCAATACACTGGTGTAGCTTTTGGGTTTACAAGAGACAGACCCATTAATGGATATCAAGCTTATTTGTGGCATTTTATAGTGTTGACAACCTCCAGGTGGTTGTATCGAAACAGAAACACTCTGTGTATAAGTTACAAACAGAAGTAGAAAGAATACATTATCCAAAACAATTTTAACCATTCTTAACAGTTCAAATATTTGTCAAATTCAAACACTCTTATGATTTCTTAAAGGGTTAGGATCCAACAGTACTTAATACAAAAGACAAAATCCAAGTAAAGTTCACTAATCTTTTGTATAAGATGCTTTGGGAGAGCAAAAGTTCCAGAGGAAAACAAAAGTTCCACGTTGTAGGGGTAGCAGCTATGCATGGCTGGCTTCAGTGCCGCATTCGCTTCCTTCTTCTTCAGGTAGCTGGTACTCTTTTAGCTGTGAAACTGAAAGTATATTTCTACTACTTGGGTTTTGTCTTTTGTATTAAGTACTGTTGGATCCTAACCAAGCAAGAAAATTGCAAGCAAGTTCGAAAGCAAGAAATTGCAAGTAGATAAAAAGGTTCCACTTCGGTGGGAAGGTCACAGCGTTCCGTGCGCCTCGGTGTTTAGTCATGCTGACCACATGACCACGGAAACGTCTTTGGACAGTGCTGGCTCTTCAGCTTTGAAACGGAGATGAGCACCGCAACCCTAGAGTCGGACTCGACTGGCTTTCGAGCAAGGGAACCTTTACCTTTACCTTTTACACCAGGAGAAAATGGCTACTTTGGAAGGTGGACTCTCTTTGGCGTCCCTCTCTGCCCTCCACAGGCTCCACCCCCAAAACCTCCACGTATTTCCCAACTAGGAGCTGGCCACCCTATTAATGTATACGTTTTAAATTTCTCCACGGTTCCCTTTTATAAATCAGTACGACAAGGGAGGAGAACGTGAAGGCTTTTTGCCTTTCCAGTTACCTGCCCCGAGAAGAGACAAATTTAACATGAAAATCTAATTTCTGTAGCAGCTAATGGTACCACTGGAGTGAGGACCTCCTCTCAGATATTTCACTGGCTTCCAGCTGAAGCAAATCTACATTACCACATCAAAAAACTCTTAAATTTAACTAACAGATTCATTGGGAATCTCACAATATTGACCCTCGGCGGCTGTAAAACCCGCACTGCTAAGAAGAGAACCTGGGATGGTTTAACGCTTGTTTACAATGCAGCATGAGGTGTTTTCTGTCCTCGAACAGAAAATTTAACTGGGATCGTTAGTTAATTAACACCTCACCTTAAAATTGGTCTCGGCATGCAGATTAGGTGCTGATAATTCTTGATAGATGATGAAGAGATGGTGAGCAAAGGTCATCAGGGCCCCCTGGAGATGTTCTCCAATTGTTCTGTTAATGATATCCAAACAAATGACTTTGCCAATGATTCCATTCGCATGCTTAAAAACAATCGCCCTCTCATTTGGGCCTGTCAGCCGGTGGAATTTAATGAGTATTTTCAATCTCGTAAGGTGGCAATCTTCAGGGAGATATGAAAGATGAGCCTCCATTTTAACTTGTCAGGAGAAAGGATTTGTGTAATAAATAACTTTTATTAATCAAGTAGCAGAGAGGAGGCTTAGTAATTTCCGAGCAAAATTCCGCGGCTTTTCGAAAGTGTTCTGGATTTCCCAGTACATGAACTGCTAACCATTGGCGCTATGAAACACCAGTGTATTAATCATAATGGAGAATACTGTTGGAAACGTGGTCCTTTGTAAGTTCCTTTGTTACTAGAAAGAGCTGAACAGCAATTTAAGCAAGGTGTGGGCAAGGCCTGCAGGTTCTTCTGTGCGGAGCAGGGACCCCCTCATACCCAAGTGATTTTGCTTCTATCTGGTGAACGGGGCTTTGACTCTGAAAAACCTACACCCTGAAACTCTTGTTGCTAAGGTGCTACCGGACTCCAACCTAGCTTGCCCTACGGATGTTCCTAGCCTGGTTCCACTTGTTTACTCAAGGCCATATATATCTGGCAAGGCTTCTACAGGTGGTCGGGACTAGTGGAGGGTTAAGCCTTTGATACTTCCGGTCCTACAATTCGCTCTTGCAAACTTACAGCATTCCAAACCTGTGCCTCTTCTGGTCTTCAAAGATCATAAAAACCGTGCCTTCTTTCTGCTGTGGAGGGCGGAAGGGAAGGCATCAGCATCCGTGTCATCAATAAGAGGTTTTAAATAACTCTTTCTTTAAAAATTGTTATTTTAATATAAAAAAACTGCAATACAAAATGGCGACTCTCTGTCCACAGTTATACAATGAATAACGTCATAAAATGTCTATATATATAAAAAAAACTCACTTACGAACCCTAGGCTAACCAAATACCAATAATTTGTATTTGGCTTTAGAAATGGTTTCCCAATCAAAGGTGTCAATGTCTATTTTATCTAAAATGGGGTACCAGATATTTAGAGGATTGGAAAAGTCACTCTCATTTTGACTGTTGGAATGATAAATTGAAAAATTGTCCAACATAAATAAATCCCATACTTTATACCACCACTGAGTTATACTTCCAGGGCTCTTTTTGTAGCAGGAGCTCCTTTGCATATTAGGCCACACCCCCTAATGTAGCCAATCCCCCAAGAGCTTACAGAGCTCTTCTTACAGGAGCTACTGTAAGCTCTTGGAGGATTGGCTACATTAGGGGTGTGTTGCTTAATATGCAAATGAGTACCTGCTACAAAAAGAGCCCTGCTTGGCACCTTAGTATCTTTCCAAAACCTTGCAATTAAAAATTTTAGCCGCTGTGGAAAGAATACTGATTTAATTTTTTGACCTTTTTCAGGAGGACCGTCAGAGGGCCACAAACCGAGTAGAAGAACAGCTGGTGAAAAAGGTAAGTTGTAGTTCGTTAATTTGTGAATGCATTGTTTTAAATAACTCTTGGAAAATATGAGGGTGTGGCTCATACTTAGGACAAAATAGACAGGATCTAGCTGTGGGAATCTGGACCGTTCGCTTATTGTGTGGGGCTCAATCAGATTTTAATAAATTTATTTTCACAATTTCATTTCATATTCACATCACAATATACATGTCCACTTTTAATTTATACATAAATTAAAATAACAGTTCATTTATTGCTTCCATTCTATTATTTTAAACTAGCATTGACTAAAGATTAATCTATCTTCTTGTGTTTTAGCCAATCATAGATTATCTTCCATCTATTCCAGAAAATATCTTCTGGTCTATTGTTCAATGCTATACTCAGCTTGTCTATTTCCGCTATGTCCAGAATCTTGTGTTTTAGTTCTATTTTGGATGGTATGGCTTTCGACTTCCAACGTTTAGCTATCAGAATTCTTGCTGCTGTTAAGGTGTAGATTATTATATGTTTGTGGTTAATCAGATTTTAAAAGTGGTAGTTAGTTTAAGTGCGCTCGCGAGAGGTTTTTTTTGTCTCTCGGCTGACATAAAAATCAGGGTGAGCCATCTAACGAGAGAGGCACTGAAGCCATGTGCTCTGATCCAGGTGACATCCCCCCCCCCTTAAATCCACTGCGGGCGGAAGCCGTCTGTGATGACGCCACGTCGCAGCAGCCTTGTGGATCTTGTTTATTATTCATTTATTTATTAAACTTATGCCCCCGCCCTCCCAGCAATCGCCGGCTTGGGGCGGCTTCCAAAAATTTAAAACAACAACAAATAATATACTAATCATAAAATCACAAAGCAATAAAACAATACAGTATTAAAAGGTGCTAACCGATACAATCCAGATGTCATTAACAATAATAATTTAACTAGGTGGCGTTCAGCTTCAAAACCTTTCAAGGGATCAGTCACAATCTAATATTGTCCGGCTGGCTCAGGCTGCAACGCCCTGTACCCGCCCTCCCAGCAATCGCCGGCTTGGGGTGGCGTCCAAAAATTTAAAACAACAACAAATAATGTACTAATCGTAAAATCACAAAGCAATAAAACAGTACAGTATTAAAAGGTGTCAACCGATACAATCCAGATGTCATTAACAATAACAATTTAACTAGGTGGCGTTTAGCTTCAAAACCTTTCAAGGGATCGGTCACAATCTAATATTGTCCGGCTGGCTCGGGCTGCAACGCCCTGGACCTGGTTGTAGCGAGCCTGGCATCCTTTGGTCCGGGAAGGGTCAGTTGATGTTGGGACCCTGATCGCAGTGCTCTCTGGGGAACGTGTGGGGAAAGGCGGTCCCTCAGGTATGTAGGCCCCTGACCATATAGGGCTTTGAAGGTAAGAACCAGCACCTTAGAGATCCATTTCAAGGTTTGAGGCATGATTCACATTAAGACCAGTTTGCGGGAGACGGTCATGTTCGATACAATCCAGATGTCATTAACAATAACAATTTAACTAGGTGGCGTTTAGCTTCAAAACCTTTCAAGGGATCGGTCACAATCTAATATTGTCCGGCTGGCTCGGGCTGCAACGCCCTGGACCTGGTTGTAGCGAGCCTGGCATCCTTTGGTCCGGGAAGGGTCAGTTGATGTTGGGACCCTGATCGCAGTGCTCTCTGGGGAACGTGTGGGGAAAGGCGGTCCCTCAGGTATGTAGGCCCCTGACCATATAGGGCTTTGAAGGTAAGAACCAGCACCTTAGAGATCCATTTCAAGGTTTAAGGCATGATTCACATTAAGTCCAGTTTGCGGGAGACGGTCATGTCCAGGGGTCATTTCCTGCAGGAGCGCACAGGAGCGGAGCTCCAGCAGTAAAGAGCCCAGGGGGCGGGCACATGCAACAAGCCCCACCCCCTGCTCCCAGCAGCCCTCAGTCAGAGCGAGAAGCAGCCAGGTAAGTTGCAGAGGCACCCCCCCCGGCACCCCTGTCCAAAAGAGTCCAGTCGCACCTTTAAGACCAAGTTTTATTCAGTCTGTGGAGGCTGGACTGGCTGACCTCTGCACCCTCTCCCTCCTCCTGGCTACCTCCTTTAATTCGAAACTTCCTACCTGGACGTCATAGCCGATCCCGTGAGCCTTGCACATCTGGAGGAAGACGCTGTAGTAGATGAAGGAAAGGCTGGTGTGCATCACTGAACTGCTCATGACAACGGAGCGACTGACCACGGAAGCCTGGCGTGAAAAGTGGGAAACGGCTTACTTTGAGGAAGGGCTGGCAGGTTTCTGGCTTGATGGAGAAGACACGTCCTCTCGGGGT